TACATGTTGACAAAGAGAAAGACAGTTAAAATTGCTTTTGTTGTATTTTAAATAATTAAATAAAAATATTAAGTGTCTTTTTCATAGAATGAAAATTTATCTTCATTACATTTCTTAGGTTATTATAAATTGGTTTTTAAATGGGCTTACTCAATGTATGAATAAAAGTACGAGTTGACCGGCCCCAGTTTTTATTAAAAATTAGACTAAAGCAAATGCACAAGTTGTCACCTCCCAAATGATGTTCCAGGGTTAAAAAATGCTAATATTGAGACTTTATACACAAAATTTCTAATAAACTCACCAGAAACCATGGAACGCAATTTTATCAGGAAAAAATAAATTTTAATAAGTACATTTACGGTTGTTTTAAAAAGTGAAACTAAAGATTTTAACGTTTATTAAATTCTGGTTGGATATTAGATTTTTCAATTTCCTTTAATTGAAAATTTATCTGTATTCTGTAGTTTTTTAAGTTGTGTCTAATTTTTACTTTTTGAATAAGTTTTTTAATGCTAATATAATCAACATATATTATTTGGTTATTTAATTCTGCAACAATTTTTCAAAAATTGTGGTGTCAATTTTTCAATTTAAAACTTCTATCCCATCTTATGTAAATTTACATTTTGATGTATAAAAAATACATCTTAATGTTAAAGTAGGCTTATTAGCTTTTAAGTATAATCCAAAAATTATTAATTAATTAAAATTAAATTTTTTTAAATCAAATTATATTTTTTTATTATCAATAAATGTACAACACAATTTACTCTATTATAATAGATGCTATATCATTATACTTACATTAGTAGTTCTCATTTGCACGACTAACAGGAATTTGAGAGTGGGTAGCAAATATAAATATAAATATTAAAACTTTCCGATACGAATTAAAAATTTATAATAAAATCCAATCAGGTTATTAATTATTCTCAATATCTTTCTAATAATAGCAAATTGGATGCAAATAGGCAAAATTAACAACTCCTATCGAAAATAACCTTTTTGGGCATTTAAGACTAAATTTCCTACTTCTTGGAATTCTACAGGAATACTAATTTGAAACTTCCCGTCACTACCTTACTACCCATCGACGAATTCTAAATGCCCCTTACCTGACATTGCCTTATGCTACAAACTGTAGTACCTGCGCTATCTAGTTGTTACTGCAATGAAGTATTGAATTTAGATTTAAGCTAATTGTAGAACTTTAAAATAAAATGAAATTTGGATAATTATGAGCAGTCCTAAAATTCCCCTATACTGGGTAAATTACTTTCAATTCAACATTTGATCAGTATCACAAGCAGAAATTTTTAGTGATAAGGCGTTTCAAATAATTTGTATGATCTTTTTTTATGGAATAAATATTTTTTTAATTATTAACCTATAACCCAGTGCAGAACACAGATTACATAATGAAAAAACTTATTCGGATATTGTCTTGAAAATTAATTAAGAATATTCTGATTCAATAAAAATTTTTTTTTTTTGTGAGAAGGAACTAATTAAAATAATCTTATTTTAATTGTAAAGTTGAATCTTTATGAAAAAATTAATAAAAATATTTTAAAGATACAAAGATTACCCAACTCTTTGACAAAATTTAATTCTTTAAAAAAAAAAAAAGTTTCTGAGGCATCGAAAAATTAATATGAATAATATTTTAGATATTTCAAATATAAATTGAACTTCAAAAATATCACATTTTAAAAGAAATAGACCTCAGAAATTTTTTGTAAACATTATCTTAGAAAAAATCCATTATTAACAGTTTTTAGGGAATATCATTAATTTTACTTGACTTTCTTTCCTAACCTTGATTTTCACTTTCCTTATTTATAAGAATCCCCCAATTTTTATTAAGATGGCCTACCACCTATTCACATAGTATCTAAACTGCAACATTAACTTTAACATATCACTTAAACATAAATTAATTTTATATTATATTACAACATTTTTGTTGATATATGTACAAAACATGTATTAACTCAATATTAGACTATATTTCATCATTTACGCAAAATGGCTCAACAAGAAAATATTATATACTTAGACACTAAAGATAAAAAAAAATTCTCAAATCAATCAAGAAACAAATGAAAAAGGANTTTTTTAATTATTAACCTATAACCCAGTGCAGAACACAGATTACATAATGAAAAAACTTATTCGGATATTGTCTTGAAAATTAATTAAGAATATTCTGATTCAATAAAAATTTTTTTTTTTTGTGAGAAGGAACTAATTAAAATAATCTTATTTTAATTGTAAAGTTGAATCTTTATGAAAAAATTAATAAAAATATTTTAAAGATACAAAGATTACCCAACTCTTTGACAAAATTTAATTCTTTAAAAAAAAAAAAAGTTTCTGAGGCATCGAAAAATTAATATGAATAATATTTTAGATATTTCAAATATAAATTGAACTTCAAAAATATCACATTTTAAAAGAAATAGACCTCAGAAATTTTTTGTAAACATTATCTTAGAAAAAATCCATTATTAACAGTTTTTAGGGAATATCATTAATTTTACTTGACTTTCTTTCCTAACCTTGATTTTCACTTTCCTTATTTATAAGAATCCCCCAATTTTTATTAAGATGGCCTACCACCTATTCACATAGTATCTAAACTGCAACATTAACTTTAACATATCACTTAAACATAAATTAATTTTATATTATATTACAACATTTTTGTTGATATATGTACAAAACATGTATTAACTCAATATTAGACTATATTTCATCATTTACGCAAAATGGCTCAACAAGAAAATATTATATACTTAGACACTAAAGATAAAAAAAAATTCTCAAATCAATCAAGAAACAAATGAAAAAGGAATAGAAAATAAGAAAAACGTATTAAACCAAAGAAATTTGTAGGTAAATAAAATTTGGTAGAAAGAATAAAAGATGAAAGCGGTAAATAAACAATACAACAAAACATTGTAATATTTTTTTTTATATTTCTGTATAATTTGAATATTTGTAATAAAAAAAAAATTTAAAAAATAAAAAAAAATAAACATAAAGCATAAAAGCAAAGACACAATTTAAATAAAACGAGAAACATAATTTAATTACTCCCCCCTTAAAAAATATTTTTATATTAATATATAATTTTTATAATTGTTGAGGGGCTTTGACAGAAGTAGGAGGGCCAAGTCACCCCCTTGACCTCCAGATTGCATCAATGGTAAAAAAGTTAAAAGGCAAAAACAAAAATTCTATAACAACTACGTAAGACATAAGATATTTTAAGATAAAGATACATTTACTCCCTATCTTTATCTTCAAAGTTTTAAGAGACGAAAAGAAAACTGTAAATATTAAAAAGAACACATTTACATTTATAATTAAATACGAATGTCAAAATAAATTGGCGCACATATGATATGGTTTAATATTGAGGTGGTTATAAATATAATGTATAATTAAATTTACAGGTATACATTCATGTTCATTATAAAATTATAAATTAATTCATTATAAATTAATGTGTGCTGATAAAGAATTTACAAAATTCAAAATTTTTATTCACATAAGTTTTTCTTCATTTGCTCTTCTACTCCTGAATTTTTTTATTGAGAATATGACGTAATATGTCATTTGTAACTTAGGATAGTGTATTATAACTTAAAAGAAATATATAATATAATAATTAATCTCAATCTGAATAGCTGATTTATAAATATTTCTATGTGGCCAAAATTGTAATAGAAATTTTGTTAACAATATTAATTAGATAATTATAATATAAAAAAGAAAAAGAATAAATGTTTGTGAAATTTTAGGTGACAGGTGCCATCAAAAGTACTGTCACTTCGTTAAGCATTTTTTTTAGTTTTTTAGGATATTGCATTGTTTATTAAAATACATTTTTCCTTCGTTTTTAACTGTACTTTTAGGACCTTTTATTCTTAGTTATTATTTTAAGACACCTCTTTAATAGATAAGTTTCTCGTATTTGACGCTGTCAGGTTGTAGGAAACATTATAACAAAGACATAGAATTTTTTTAGTAGGTCGACTCGACTCCTTTGTATTTACTAGTATAGACCAACTAACTTGCTATAAGTAAGTTTTAAAAATATTCTGGGCCTAGCCAGTCGAACTTAATTTTTTTGCTATGTTTTTACTGGTATTTCTGGTTTCAACCCGTTATTGATACAAGGTTTTTTTCTACTTCACACTTAAACTGTGCTTTATGAAGCCGAACCTGAGGTGCCTAAAAATTAAAACGTTTTGAGCTTCGTGCTTGGGAGCAATGCTCAAGTAATAAAACCATTAAATTATTTAATGGGTAAAGACCCAACAAATAATCTATAAACTATTAATACGTATCCCCATAAATAAAATAGTGTCAAATTACAAACTATAAGTACTTAAGCTCTTAGATTTATTCTATTTCTATCTATTTCATAGAGTTATTATAATTTTTTTCAAAAATAATTAGGTAAATGTTCAAAAAACATTTTTTAGAGTAATTTAAACTAATTTAAATATTTTTCTTAAAATCAAAATTAATAATAATTTTAATTTTTCTATAAAATACGTATTATATATTTTATATTTACGAATATATTATTAATTAATTATAAAAATTGTATTAAAAAATAAAATAATGTAACAAATTAATTATGTATACTAACATACGTCACAATGTACACACTTTCTTTTTTTCAATAAATTTGTCAATTTTTAATATTAGTTAACTTTTCTTAAATACAATCATATGTCAATATAATGTTTTTAATTCCTAAACTTTCTTTAGCAATATACAACTTTAATAAAATAAGTAATTATAAAAATATTTTTTTAATTGATTGATAACAAAGTCTTGTAATGAATTGTAGAGCTAGGAATATGTGGAAAGGTTATTAAGGAATGGGAAAGCAGGAACGAGTGGTATGTAACATGCAAGCACAAAGGACAAACGCAGTCGCAAATGCCAACGCAAAAGCGTTTCCCCGGCAACTAAAATCGTTCGGTCCCCCCGTGAATCGATTGCCTACCGTTCTAGGTGTTTTCCAGACGTATCCATCGTCTCTCATTGCTGTGACTTTGTTGAGAATGCGAATTGCAACTTATAAATAAAGCAATGCCTCTGCGTCTATTATTTAGGTAAGTATTTGATTTATAATCTACAGGTCTTTTTTTTTTTTGTAAACAAACCCAACAAGTAACAAAAGATAAAAATGAATTCACTAAGTTCTGTTGTTGTTTCCAGTTATTATCATTACACGTATTTTACGCATTAACTTGATTCTTAGTTAAAAATTAAAACATAACAATGGTGTTTTATCAGGTGAACAACACGCCGTCCAATAACTCTAATTTAGTTCGTCCGGTATATCACCGTCCAAATAACTGCGATGATTTCTTCTAAATTTGGCCTAGTTGTCACATTTTTCTTAGTGCAAATAAGGTGGTCACGGTGTGGACTTCCGCCACCACCATCAAATGAAATCGCACAGAATTTTCTTTGGAATGCAGGTTTGATTGTTACTTGTAACATTCTTATAGATAATATAATTTTATAACATAATGGGAACTTTATTTCTTGATAATCAGACGCTGTAGAATGGAGAATTGGTGAATGGGAACCATGTAAAAAGTCTGAAGATACAGGGCTAGATGAAAACCAAGGTATAAGAAGGAGAAAAGTTTCATGTGTCATGGTGATTCGTGATGGAATAAAACTTGAAGTAATATTTTATTTTTTACATTTATAATTGTATGTATACAAGCAAAAACAATATATATTCTAATCATATAGCTAATTTTAATTAAAATATGATATTTAAAATTAAATATTTGTAAATAGTAAAATAATATCAGATATTTGTTCTAAGATTATAGATTCAAATGATATTTGTTCAAATAATAAAACTTGGTTATTTTTATTAATTTATTTATATATTAAACGTTATTATAGTTTCATATATCATCATATTAGTTATGTATACATTTTTTATAAGCAATGAATTTATTTGAGCCATGTTTAAATTACAATTTTTTACCACAAGGAACCTATAGAAATAGAAGATTCCAGTTGTCAAAATTTATCCCCCGGAACACCACCTGTGGAAGTGTGCTCATTAGAACCTAATCAAGATTGCATAGTTACTGAATATTCGAGTTGGAGTTCTTGCTGTGGTGGATCACAACGTAGATCAAGAAGTATAGTAATCGAGCAAAAAAATAACGGAGCTAAATGTCCACCAGTATGTGCTTTAAATAATTTTTGAAAATTTTAAACAGGAAATAATGATTTTAATTGATTTTTATAGTGAAATTATAGTATTATATATTAAATGTTATCTTAATATAGAAATATAATAAAACATAGAAAATTATAATAGTATAAATATTAAATTAATATAATATTATAAAAATAAATATTTTTTTTTAGTTAATAGAAACACAATCTTGCAAACCTAATGATCAATCTTGCGCTAATAATGTTTCAAAAGGCTACCAATTAAAAGTAAATCAGTGGCAGCAATGTGTGCATGTCTCTGAAAATGTTTTGGGTGATACTGATGGAATAATGACTTCTGGCTCGCATGCAGACACATTTTATAAACATTGGCCTCAAGTAGGCACTCAAAAACGTTCAATGAGTTGTTTTGATGAATCAGGAGTACTTGTTTCGCTAAATTTTTGCGAGGACAAACCATTACCAACTAATACCAGAGCATGCATAATTGCTCAAGATTGCGTGGTTAGTGATTGGACTGATTGGGAAATTACTCAAGGCGGGTGTATAAGCGCTAATGGAAAAGTAAAATTGTTTTTTTAACGTATAAGTAAAAATTGGACATAATCTAATCAAAAATTAAATGAATGTAGGTTAGAGAAGAAAAAGCAATTAGAAAACGACAAATTCTCCGTCTTCACGAAGGTCAAGGATCTCCATGTCCTCATTTAGTCGAAACAAGAACCACAAAAGAAAATCTATCACTATGTTCTGAAAAGTAATTAAATGCTATATTATATATAATCTGAACTATCTTATTTTTCATATGGTAAAATATTGATTAAATTATCAAAAATTTATTTGTTGATACATTTTAGATATAAATGGTTGATTTCGAGTTGGAGTAAATGTTCACAACCAATATCCAATGAAACTGTTCAATGCGGTGGCGGTCTTCAGTATCGAAACATAACTTGTATTGAAATATTGACAAACAAATTGATGGATTCTTCTATATGTAGAATTTTGGACACTCCTCCGACCATTCAAAGGTAGTTTTTTTCTAAAAAAATCGCACATAAAATTAATTGTTTAATTTGTAAAAGGTGTGAAATACCATGTCCAAGAGATTGCCAAGTAGGTTCATGGAGTGAATGGAGTCCATGTATGCCATCTAAATGCCCACCCGAAACAAATTACGAACTACAAAATGGTAAATTTTAATGAATAAATAATAAACCCAATAATTACATAAAAGTATGTTAATTGAATAATAATAAATGCTTTTATTTTTTGGTAAAAAAATTTAAATAATTAATTAAGCTTCCGCGAAATTTGCAATGATTTTTTTCTATTTAATAATATCTTATTTCTAAGTTAAACGCTATAACATTAAGCTTAAACATAGTCTTCATAAAAATATACTTATGTTTTAGGACAAGAAGAAAATGGACATAGAAAACGAACTAGACCTGTATTGATTCCACCTAGTGAATTTGGTGTGCCTTGTCCTAGTTTAAGTGAAGTTCAACCTTGTCAAAATCCACAATGTTTTGTATGGGACTTCGACCAATGGGGAAGCTGCATGCTTGATGATCCTAGTGAAAAATGTGGCACTGGTCGTAGAAATCGACAAGTTTACTGTACTACACATGACAAAGTATAATACACATTGCTATAATTTTTAACAAAATATTTTCTATAAATTTGATATTATTTTTTTTAGGAGGTTGTACACATTTCATTATGTTCTAAAATAAAACCAATTGAATCTGAACCATGTTCAGTACCTTGTCCAGAGGATTGCGTTGTTTCTGGCTGGTCAGAATGGAGTGATTGTTCAATGGGTTGTTCTCTTAATTTTGATATAGGTGTGAAATATAGAAACCGTACAGTTATTGGACCACCGGGATTTACCGGACATCATTGTCCACCAAAAGAAGATATGGTACAATTTGAAAATTGCAATACTCATGGTTGTTATGGGTATAGTTGGCTAGTTTTACCATGGACAGATTGTAATGGAACATGTAGTAATGGAGTACAAACAAGAGATGTATGGTGTATGAGAGGAAATGACCAACATGTCGATGATGAAAAGTAAAATTAAAGTTATATATCTTAAAAACTCACAGTTATTAATATTATTAATGTAATTATTATTCACTATATTATAACTTTTATAATTCTTTATATTATAATTTACTGTTTTAATTAGTTGTCGTGAACTTCAAAAACCAATAACCATAAGAGATTGCTTTAAAGACTGCGAAAATAAAATTTGTATTTTGTCGGACTGGAGTGAATGGTCTGAATGTCCAGAAGATACCTGCTTAAATGGTAAATATTATTCTTACGATTCAGGTCATAAAATTTAAATTTGAACTATATTCTAAAATAAACATCCATTTTACAGAACAAACTGATTTAACAAAGTTTAAAAGACAGCGTAGTCGTGTGATTCTTGGTGGGGAATCTTGTGGACCCATATTTGAAGAAGAACCATGTCCAATGCCAAATAAAATTTGTCCAAAATATTATTGGGTCTTAGGAATGTGGTCTCATTGTCAATTAGCAGAAGATGTTACATGTGGACATGGCTTAAGAACAAGAGGTATTATTCAAAATTAAACGATTTGTTTTTAAAATCACTTAATAATCATTTATTAAATATATTTAACTTATGTTTTCTTAGATTTTTGGTGCACTAAAGACGAATCACCTATTCATGTAGAACTAAAACATTGTCTCCAATATCAAAACATAACTCCTATTAGTGTAGAACGTTGTCATGTTGATTGTCAAACACCATGCCAAATGACTGAATGGTCTCATTGGTCATCATGTCCACAACCGTGTTCTGGTATAAGAACAAGAACTCGTGATCTTATTGGAGATTCTATGTCACATCCAGCATGCAAAGAAATAAATCAAGTCGAAACCACTCAATGTCCATGTTCTGAATATTTCTCAAAACCATCTTCAGAATGGTCTCTTTGTTTAACTAATGAAATTAATGGTTGTGGTACTGGAACACGTTACAGATCTTTAGGATGTTATAATACGGATAATAACCTGGTTGATCCAGCGTAAATAAAAATTAAATTTATACCTTTTTTCATTGCTCCTAATTTTAGTATTTTATGTTTAATTTAGATTGTGTGGTGGAAGCATGGGCATAGAAGAAGAACCGTGTTTAGTACAGTGTTCAATAGATTGTCAGCTATCTGATTGGAGCGAGTGGGGTACATGTAATAAACTTTGTGGACCTGGTATACATCATCGATACAGAAAAGTACATTTTTTTTGATTCAACAATAAAAAAAATTAATATTAAAAAATTAACTTATCAATAATGAATTTTTAGATTGAACGAAATGCTACAAGTGGTGGTAGATCATGCGGGGAAACTGTACAAACAAAAATTTGCAATACACCATGTGAAAGTTATCAATGGAACACAGAACCATGGAGTCAGTGTAAATTGCCTGAAAAAGATAAAGAAAAAGGTTGTGGTGAAGGGGAAATGTTTAGATTAGTTCGGTAAGTTGAGATTTATAATTAAGTTATAATTTTATGTTACATAAAATGTCTGCTACAAAATTGAATGCAAAAATATTTGTACAGATGCATTCACGTGAATACTGGGATAGAAATGTCAGAAGAATATTGCGATTGGACTATACGACCAGAAGGAGTTAATTTATGTACAATTGCTTGTCCAGGTGACTGCGTTCTCAGCGCTTGGTCTGACTGGTCTCTTTGTCCTAAAGTAAGATCTCTAATTTTTATAAAAATTTAATTAATCAAAAGATATTTAGTTCATATTAAACTCAAATATTTTATTTAACATTAATCTTACTTTCATCAGGACTGCCAGCCAACTCATGAACAACAACGAACTAGACAACTACTTCGAAGTCAAAGTGCTACTGGAGCAAATTGTCCAATTGCAATACAAACCCAACCATGCCGCTTGAACTATACTTGCTTTAAATATTCTTGGAAAACAATTACAAATGTATCTTGTTTGCCATTAGGAGGAAGCCCTTGTGGCGAAGGTATGACGGTTGGTGCAGTTTACTGTGAAAGAAGCGATGGAAGAACCGTAACTGACCGGTAATCCCAATTTGTTTTATTAAAATGTTTTCTTACTTCATAATATAAATACCAAAAAAGTATAGAATAAATGAAAATATTTTGATGTATAATTATATAACTAAAATAATGTGGCGGAGGGTTCAACTAATCGTTATCATAGCGTTGATATTTTTGTCACAAAGATTTATTTAAAACGTAATAATAATTTATTTTATTTTGTATAATTAAAAGTATAGTTTTATTTTAGCTTCGATTCGAAGCTGAGAAGATATTAATTATACTATGATGTGTTTTTTTTATTTTTTTTTGTGTCTGTTACCATTTTTCTACTACTCAGCTCTCATCGAACCGATTTCTTTCAAAGATACGTCAAAAAATCACAGATCATGTCTAGTCGAAAACATGACCCTCAAAAATTGAAAAAATTTCCCTCGTTCCCGGTAAATGGGAGAAATCTCCAAAAAAATTACTAATTTTTTCAATTTTTTTTACTTAATACTGTCATATATTTTTCAAAAATGACTAAATCAATATAATTATTTTTTGTAGATGCATGATGTCTTTACCTATGAATTGGTATATTTTTTTTATAAATTTGACCCTTACCTGCCCACAGGGTGGGATTCAAAATGACAACTTTTTCACAAAAAATTAACTTTTGAAAGTGTTCCGGAAATACTGACACTTTAATATATATATTTTGTTTTCATGGTGAAAACGGACATCAAAGTTAATTTAAAAAATAAGATTTTTGTAAAAAAAAAATTTTTTTTTAATTATAAATGCTATAACTTTTTGAAAAATATATGGATGTATACAATTTTTTTATGATAAATACTATTTTCCTCTATATATTTATATATTTATTCATATATTACACTTATAAATCATAAAACTTGTAATGAAAATATAAATAAGGAAATAGAAGATCATGTAGCTTTTGGAATAATCCACCAATTTTTTAAAATTAAACACTATCTACAGAATTGCATTGAAGCGTTTTGACCCAAATATACCTCGTCCCCACTGTGCTGGGTTTTTTTACCTGTATACCTTATAAATATTAAGTTTATTACAATGTAAAATTTAATTAACTAAATCATTTTAAGTAATTTTTAATTTAATTATATTTTCTTATTATGTTAAATAAGTATGTTTCCTTATCAGATTTTGTGGAGATCAACCAAAACCTAGTTCATTAGAAAAATGGTGTTATATAGATTGTCCAGTTGATTGTGCACTTGAAGCATGGTCGCCGTGGAATGCTACTTGTTCGTGCAATGATACAGGTAATCGTGATTAATTTTTATTTTGTTATAAAAACCGAAAAATTACAGATACAATGTTACTATAGGAGTTTCTCGCAGAGCTTACACTGCTATGAACCCTAGCCCCACAGGAAAACAATGCCCAATGACTGTTGAACAATGGAAACCATGTCCAGCTGTACCATGTTATCATTGGTCTTTAGGACCATGGTCTGCATGTCAACTTCACGTAAGTGAAAGTTATGTTATATAATGTTTACAAAAATATTTTATATTAGTTAATTTATCAATATAAATCACAAATTATTATTATTTTAATATAAATTCAACAAATAGTATGATTTTAATACATTTTTATAGATTTTTAATCAAATTTAACACATTTTACTTTCAATTATTTTTATTCGTTAAAGGGAGCTGCTTGTGGACACGGTTTAACTACTAGGAACGTTTCTTGCACTCGAAGTAGTGATGGCGAGTCTGTGGAACTTTCATTTTGTACAAACTTATCGCAACAAAAGCCATTATCGTGGCAAAATTGCTATGTATCATGCGGTCCAGGTTGCACATTATCAGAATGGAGTCAATGGTCACATTGTCATGGTGACTGTCAAAAGGAGAGCGTAGGATATGAAACTCGATCACGAACAGTAATATCACAGTCACCAGCTGGTACAACAGCATGTACAGATCCCTTATGGGAAACCCGTGACTGTCGTATACCACCATGCGTTACTTATGAATGGGCATTGACGGCAAATGCTGATGTGATATGTCGTAGATCCGATGGACTAGTTGTAGCAGAATGTAAGTTTATAGGATAAGTGTTTCAAGAACACTTCAGCATTTTAACCTATTTTCTATTTTTTTAGCTTACTGTGATGAATCGGATAAACCAAAATCAATGTGTAGTACGCTACAAGGTAGTTACATATGTACAAAAGAAATATGTATGCCAGACGATAAGCTACAATGTGACAAATTGGCCGACTGGATACAGTTTAAGGATGATCCACGTATAGTGGAGTACTTGTTATATTTTGGATTTGGAATTGTTATACTTGGAGCAATAACTGTTTTCTTCATTTATATCATATGGTGTGTTAACAAACCTATTGTATAAATATTACATTTTCATAATCAATACTTAATGAACATGAATATTTCTGTTTTTAGCCAGAGAAATAAGAATCAATGCAAATACCATAAACAACCGGATTTAGCGTAAATAATAATATTGTGTGACCTTATACTAATTATATTATAAAATAAAGTAATATACAATATTACCACATTTTTTCAATAATACCATTAATTTGAAGAAATTTTTTGTTATTAGATAAGTATTGTAAGTCCAAACAAGTGAAATTCATTGATTTTTGGATAATATATATAAATAATAAATTTTAAATTATAGTATCATTCAAGTCATTGTATTTGAATTATATCATATTAATATAGAACATAAATAATTTCAATTTTGTAACTACCCTGAAAATTGTCAATAAAAAAATTATATTAGTTCTTTATTTAAGTATAATGTACATTTATAAATAATTTTGAAGCCAAAAATCGAATCAAAATCTAATTCCACAAATTAATTTTTTTTATAGATACCTATGATTATAAAACATATTAACTTATCAATCTATGTTTTAAATTTGTATTGTTTTTATTGTTTTGTTAAGATATTATGTTTGTTATGTTAGCAAGTATGTAATTTGTTTTTATTTTTTTTGTTCTATACTTCAAACTTTATCTAAATATATAAACTTTACATTTTCAATTTGATTTCAAATTTATCCAACTAAAAAAAATATTGTTGTATGCAGAAATCAGGGAAAGAGACTTATAAAGCTTATCTTTCTCAAGATTTCATTAGTTCATACCCCAAAAATATTCTTAGAGTTGATGAAAGGTTAGGGTAAAAAATAATTAGGTATAATGATATTCAAGAATAGAAGCCTACAAAACTCCTTTCAATTTCTATCCATGAATATAAGTTCCTACTAAATATATTAATAAAAAACATTTGTAATAACAAGAAAAACATGTAAATTAATTAATCATAATGGAAACAAAATATAATTAAGACTATTTTAGTTAAATAGTATTAAAATAAAAAATGTAATAATAATAAAGTGTTCACGAGATAATATAATACATATAAATAATAATTTTCTTAAACAAATTTTTCGCTAACATATAATATAAGTAAGAAATATATGATTTTATGTCACTAAAAAATGTTTAAATATAAAAATGTACTTAACTACTATAAATATTTTTTTCTCCAAGGTTACCTTAAAAATCAACATATCAACAATCTCTTTCTTTAATCACAGTACTTCAATTAAATTTTATATAAAGCATTAGTATTTATAATTGGTATATTAAACAATTATACAATATAAATCAATTGTTTTAATTTAAATTTATTTTATTTTAGCACTATTACAAAAATCAAAATTTACAGTTGTCAATTACTTAAAAAAGTATACCACCATAGCTATAAACAGGAAAAGATATATAATAAACATAGATCTATCTAATATCAATGCAAGGTAATACCACTGATTTTCTTTCACTTTGATTTTAGATTTATTATTTTCTATTGAATTCTCCAAAAGATTATCCTCTTGGTTATCCTAGAATTCATTGTTATATTATATATTAAAATATTCAGATAAATGAACAATTAATATATTTTTTCGAAATAAAAGTTAAATTAGTTAAAATCAACATAATATAAGTTATATTGTGAAGTTAATTACATTTAAAATGCAAGTATTTTATACTGTATTACCTTTTGTGATGTAAACCTTAAAACAGTACCAAATTTTGTATCAAGTAATAGTTTTATCCACTTTGGCATTTTATCCTCTGGTTGAGTGGATTTAGCCAAGTTATGTAACATAACTGAAAAAACCATGGAAAGTGTCACCATGCCCAAAGAATTTGAGTAGAACAAAACTAAAACGATTGAAAGAAATGATTACAAATTACATTATTTACATATTCAAAATTACCTATAAGTGGTATCCGATCACTCATGACTGGTATAATGTTAGATATCGTCATTAAAACAATGCAAATTATAACCAATGTTACACCACTTAACATAAATTTTTCAGAAGACTCCGGAGGCAGCCAAAAGACAGAAAGTGTGAGCAAAACTACCACTAAAATTAAAATTAAATTATAAATACAAATATCATAATACATGATACATGTTCCTTAAAGGATTATCTTTAAATATATCGGAAATAAGACTAAAAAATACGAGTACCAGATTAACTAAAAAAATCAATTCATATTATAAGATTCAAAGGGATTTCTCTACTTCAATCGTTTTATTAAAAGAAGAAACATACTCCTTTATTAGGTAATTATTTTACATATGTTTTTTACAACCAAATTTTACAGAAAATTGAGACTTAATTAAACATAAAAAGTTGAATCGAAGTTTTTACTGGTGTTTTGACTTAAATTTTTATTAGAAATGCTTTTACTGTTTGTATACCAAACATTCTAAAATTACTCAAATATTATGAAACTTTAATTTTTTATTTTCATATTTTCAATGTAAATACGCTGGAGATCAATTTTCTTTCAATTATGTAGTGAATTAATTTCATTGTATTAGGTTTCATTGTACTTTAAATAACTATTGGTGTATTAAGGAATTCGTTATATGAGAGGTAAACTGGATAACTTTTGATACATAAAGTAGTGGTAATTTTCACACCTCCACTCCCCTGCTACTGTGATTTTTGTCAAATAGAGCCAAATCCCACAAATCTATCCGTTCTTGAATATACCACTGTGATGTAAGTTTATACTTAATTTTACATTCGTTTTTTCAAATAAATATAAGTTTTCACTCGGAAAACATTTGAAAAATTTAAATTGATATAATTTAGGTAAATAAACGGCCTACATATCTTAGTTAGGCACGCATCATACCTTGGTGCGTAGATGCCAGGATTCGATTTCATTACGCAGAGCTATGTAGGGTATTTAATCCTCTCTAGCAAAAGCATTATCATAGCTTTTAAGAGAAGATGTAAAATATAAATCTAATACTAATAAATATACCTAAAGCTGGTATGATGACCACACTATTATAAGTAGGTATTTTTCTTTTTATAGATATGCTATAATGTATGTCTTCATACGTATCATTTGAATTACAAGAGTAACTTTCCACTCTACGTCTTTGTGTTACTTTAGTCACTTCCCATTTGCATCCTCCATCTAAACTTATCATGTCTAATGGCTAAAAAATATTAATTAATAAAACTTTTAAGATATAATTATTATAGCCATTGAAATTTAAATTTATTAAAAATTCGATAAAATACTGAGACGTACAATTAATGTAATAAATATCACGAGAGAAATACATTTGATTTTCTAAGGAGTGATCAATGATCAATTTTTTAAAATAAATATTGCATTGGCTTACGTTTATATTTTGATTTATTTGCATGCTAATTGAATTTCCGTCATAAGTCCACGAGCCTAATCTCAAGGAACATGTGTGTTCTCCAAATGGCCAATTGGTTAGGTCCACGTCACAAAATACTCTATACTTTGCGGGTGGTATCCAATGAACCATACCATTAGAGCGAACAACACAACCAGTCTTTCCATACATTTCATCATGATTTCCATCAGCGCTAAAATACGAAGAATACATTATGATTAAAAATTGGGGTTTACTAAAATTCTCTCTTTATTATTAATAATATTATTATATAATTGTTATACACCTGTTGTAAGCCACTATATCAGGCATCCATATTTCATCAAATGCCATATTTACAGCTTTTATACTACCATATTGAGATGAATTCCAGTGAAGCTTTTCATCTTGCCACGTCTAAAATTTAGATTTATAGACATTTTTATACTTAAGTTAAATTTAACATAAAATCCTAAAAATAAAAACTATTTTAAATTAATACGTTCTTTTAAAAGCTTCTCAATATAACTTCTTTATATTCAAAATTATAATTATTTTGCAAAAAATTAATTTAGAGCATTTAATCAACCGTTATTGTTCCATTCCATTAAAGGGGACAGTTATTTAGCTCAATTATTATTTTTAATTTATTGAAAGCAAAAAAATAACAATTGAGTTAATTATTGTAGTAGTAACCATTTTTATTACTACGAAGATTGACTTTATTAAAAAGTCGAAATATTAGCATAAAACTGAAATATATTTATATAATTTAAGTAATTTTTTTAATAAAAATATTGCCCATCAAAATGTTTAATATAATTTACCATTGATATCCAAGCATTAATAGTCATTATTGATTGTTTAAAGTCCTAAAAATAAAAATATAGTATATACTGATACGCATGCTGAGGTACATAGTAAAATATTTTAAGTAACGATTAGATTAATTGATTATTCAAAGTCCAACTCACCATATCCACATATTTTATAACTGGATTCATAGTAACATAAGTGAGATTATTGCCAATAACTGGTCTAGAATTTCGATCATAAAACCTGAGTAAATCCCTTCTAAGCTTATCAGTCCAAGTATCGCTCCAAATTGTTTGTTCATTGTTACCTAATTAAAAAAATTATCCAATATTAGATACTTTTAGATGTATTATTTTAACTTGAGTAAACAGAAACTTGATCATAAATATTGAAACGGTACTTTAAAAAATCAAATACAAATAACACCAAATATAATGCCAAAGACTTAAAAATACATATCAATCGATGAAATATGTTAATACTAATTTCTTTTTAATCCAATTAAAGATTAATTACAAATATTCGTAAAATGTATATGTTCATATATCAATTATAATACATTAAAAATTAATTTTTATAAATTATAAAATTAATTAAGTTAGTAAGTATAGAAGTTGATAGTATTCTACATTTATCAATAATTTGATCAATCCAAATTTATTTTATAAGTTGGTTTTATCATTATTATTTCGATTAAAAATTTTTTTTTATCTTAGTAAAAAAATTGAAAGATAACTCATTAATTAATATTATATTGAGTATTAGTGTATAATTAACTTGTTTCATTTATTTTTGTGCTAATTAAAATCTTTTATTACTTAATCAGTAACAAAGAATATCCTAAGAACATCTTTATGGATGTTATATAGCTGAACTTGAACAATGACCTTAAAAAGACAGTAATAATAATTGCTTTGTTTCTCTAGTGAAATTTTTACAACGATAATAAACATTTAAATAATTTATTATTGCCAATATCATACGTTGGCAGTAAAATATTATAATTCTTTTAATTAATAAATACATTAAAAAAAGATAACTTATTTGTTATAATAATATATACATTATATATATATTAAACTAAATTTTCTGAAAAAAAATATTCAATAGTATACATTTGTAATGATTTTCGTTTGTAAGTTATAGTCCTTAAACTAATTTTATTTATAATATAAAAGAACGAACTTTTTTCGAAATTATGATTCAATATTTAAAGGGTAAAATATTTTTATCATTTTAAAAGGGTGGAAAGTATTTCTCAAAATGATAAAAGTAAGTTAACTGTATATTTTTATTAATATATGAGAGGAAATAGTATAAAACATAAACAAAGTACGAGTAAGTGATTTTTTTACCTACCGGTATATATAGAATATTTGCTTTACTAAGACAAAGTTTAAAAACAGTAACACAGTGGGGTCGCGGCACAGTGTGAGCATGGCATAGTTGGAGCTAGTATTGATGATATCTGACAGTGATTAAAATCACTATCATAAGAAACGTTTCGATGCAAATCTGTCAATAGTGTTTAATTTTAAGATATTGGTGGATTATTGAAAAGCAAAATTCTAACTCAAAAAAAATTACGGGAAAATTGCAAAAAAATCAGCAAACATTCGTCGTTAAATTGGCAATTTAAACTAATTAAAATGTTAAAATTAATTTTTAAAGAAAAAAAAATTTAAATAAGTTTAACATTATATTCTATGTCAATTAGATTTATATAATATTCATGAAAATCAGTGTACCCCTTTATATTGTATTTTAAAATAAATTAAAATACAATATCAAGAATTTTAACACAAAAATAGCATGTTTTTTAACTACGGGAACCATTTTCACATAAAAGATACATAATATTAGCTTTATTTTAATATATGTTTCAAGCTCGAAGCATTTCCGGAACATTTTCAAAACTTAAGATGAAAAAGTTAAATTTTTGTGCAGAAGTTGCTATTTTGAATCCCCCCTGTGGGCAGGTAAAAGGTCAGATTGTCAAAAAATGTGTATCAAATTAAAAGGAAATATCTAAGGTTTCATTATAAAAAACAATTAATTTAAGTTGTTCATTTTTCAATCAGTTATGGCAATTTTTAGAGAAAAAAAAAATGAAACACATGTCGAAATTTACCGATTCTAAAAAAACAATTTTTTGGAGGATTTTCACTATTTACGGAAAACGAGGGCAAAATTATCAATTTTTGAGGGTAATGTCTTCAACTAGATACGATTTTTGATCCTTTGACGTATCGTTGAGAAAAATTGATCTAGTGAGAGCTGAGATAAAGTAGTGACAGACACAAAAAAAAAATAAACGTATCATAATAAAATTAATACCTTCTTAGCTTCGCATCGAAGCTAAAAAAAATCCACTCGCTGTTTATTTTTACTCTAATTTTATACATATTTTAAATAAGTAAGACACATATTTTTTATTGATTTATTTTTTATTCTTGATCATTTATAAACGGACACTTGAAATAAGTTGAAGACCTTAGTTATAAGATAAATTATTACACAATCCAGGAGCCGATCGGGAAATTAGGATTTTCCCAATCCATTTCCTAATGATTTCCGTTCCCTAATGGAACATATGTATCTTCCATACTTAAGCTACATCTTTAGTTCCTATTTAATTTTTTATCGTCTTTGCCATAATTACTTATAACTATGTTTTGTACCCTTCATTTTTTAACTTAATACTTTTAAACTGAACGATACATGTTTAATTCACAATATTTATTTAATACTAATTTAACTAACTATAGCTCAATATAAAGATGTAATACAAAATATAAAATTAAATCAATATATACCAAGGTAATAACAATAATAATAATTTATAAAATAATCATTAATTAAACACGAAATAAATAGTATAAAAATATTAATATATTTGCATAAGATAAAAAAAAATATATTGTATAATGATGCTATTTTAGGAGGATTAGAGTACTTAATTTTATCGCAGTCCCTTCATAATATGAATATTACATGATTTTTTGTATAAAAATATAATTAAAGAAGGCATAAATCAAATTAGACATCCAAAATATTTGTTCAAAATGTATCTATGATATTGTAGCATACTTCGTTATTTTGTCATCTCGTGACTTAAGTCAAACAGTATTAATAAGTACCTGAGTTTACGGCTTCAACAGCAATGTACCATAGTTGAATTGTAGAAAATATTAATATTGATTTTAATAATTTTATAAACATTGTAAAACCGACACTTATGTTTTAATTTTCAATTGAACTATTGTTACAAGAAAAAATTATTTCCTTACAACTACTTAATGGACCGAAAACATTTTGTCATTTATGGAATTTTATATTATTTATTATAACAATAACTGTGATACATAATTGAGTCGGGATAACTGCAATGTACAACTAATTTTCTATATTCTTATAGCAATACATTATTACAAGTCATTGATGCATTTGGTTATAGATAATTTTTTTTTTTTTGATAACGACCACGCATATTACATATATATTTGATATTTTACTGTGGCATGTACAATATTACAACAAAACGTTGAAATAAAAAAAATCATTTCACATAAATTAAAATTTATATATATTTTAAATAAGACGTAGGCAGATAGTACAAATACACTTATTTTGATTTCTACTGTGGTGTTATAAAATTTTGAATTTAAGAAGACTTCAAACATTAATTAAATTTAGAGCGTTTTAGTCAGTTATATCAATTACATTCGTAACAAAATAGATCTTGGTACCTACAGGAGTTAAACTAAAAGATGGCTAAGTGTTATATTTAACCTCCTAGGCTAACTTATACCTTAAACTTACCTCAATTACATTAGTCGACATTTTCATGATATTATAGTCGGCGTTATCAATAAAAAAATTACATTACTCATAACAAAAATCAATGAGGCAAATAATTGCAGTTGCCACCTAAAAAAATAACTTCGCTTATTTCCTGAATATCATCGTAGAAAAATAAATGAACTTATTTTAATTAATTAATAGTAACAAAAAAATATATATTCAATCTATTGTAAATTTGTTAAAAATTAAAAATTAAAAAAATATTTTGATTAAAATTAATTATTATGATTAGAATAATAATAATAGAATCAATTTAGTATGAATGGAATGATAACTACTGAAATTTTTTTGAAATATTAATATTATTAACTAAATTAATAAAATGTAATTTTTGATATTTATTTAAATGATGTCCCGGTAGAGTAATTCATGGCTGTCCTTCAATTTTTAGTATATAAATATTACATTATAATAGACAATTATTGTTTATCCCCTTTTGAAATCAACCTATTTCTCCTAAAAAAATTGATATCGCTTTCATTAAATATCATGTATTGCAATCATAAACTAACATTTTACACAAGAAAAGCTAATTTAATGGGCAACTTCAAGTATCGTAGAATCAATAATTTTGATTACCAATGAACTGTTTATAATATTTTGATAAACGTTTATATTTTAACACTTTAATGTTATTTCGTTGAATACTTAACCAATCTAAATAGATTCTATTAGAAAATTATGTTTTTAAATTGTCTATAAGTTGCTATTAAAAAACGCTAGAATTTTTAGTAATGTTATCTTTAAATTACAGCATAATTATTTGCTCAACTTTGAATGCTACTTAGTATTATATGAAAATTAATAGCTTTCATGACCTAATGCAAAATTGAATGGTTTTAAATGTTATTGGAAATCTTCTTAATGAAATTCACTGTTGTGGCGAGTAATGAAAATTATAAATTTAAAATCGCTACAATACTAAAAGTACCAGCATTAAGTTTTTATTTAAGTTTTATTTAGTCATGTTACCAAAAACAAACTTTTTTTGTTATTCAATTGTTGTTCACAGCGTAAATAACAATTTTATCGTGATTATATTCAATTAATTCCTATATACGTATATCCTGTACACAAGTGGTCACACAAAATTCTTAATAGCTTCCTGGTGACTGACGACTGTTATTCAAGTTTACGTGTATGGCAAGAAACTATGGACGTCGCTATTTTTCCTAAAGGATTTTTTATAATCCTCTTCTTACAGTTCTCAACAATCCATTCAAGTAAACTACTTATTATATATTCATAGTTATCCTGAAGTGTTATTTGTATATAATAAAAATAATATTTATATATTTATTAAATATATGAGAATGTTATTATTCGGCTATATATTTTAATAATAATTCGAATGTACTAACATTGATCAAATAATCTCAACTACATGGATTATGATTAAATTAATCATAATTCAGTAGTGCGTTTATTAATATTTGATATCAAAATTATTTTTACTTTAAATTTTTTTAATATAATAAATTAAAATTATTATAACTTTTTTCTTAATAATAAAATGTATTTATTAATTTACTAATATTTTTGAGGTGACTCAAATCAAAAGTATTTAGCAGAACATAAATTAAGAGAAAAATTACTCAAAGATTATGAAAAATTATCTATTCCAACAAAATTTAATAAATCTTTGGAAGTCAAATTTAATATAGTTATCAATAATGCAGAATTGGTATGATAACATGTTGATTATTTAACTACTTATTTAAATAAATAAATAATTTCTTTTTATATAGAATTATGAAGCGTCTCAAATGTTATTTAGCACATGGATTGTACTTGTAAGTACTTACTTACTTCTGTATAAACAATGATTATTAGATTTATTTTGAATTTTAAAGTAGTGGCCACTTGTACTTTTTTTTTTATCTTGAACACGCAATTACAAAAATTTCACTTACCCTACTAAACACATTAAATTTACTAAAACTTTGGTTTTTTTTGTTTTTTTTTTAGAAATGAAATTGATAATTATGTAGTTGTTAAATAACGTTATTTACAACAAATAATAATTTATCAATAAATCGTGTTATATCCAATTTGTGGTTCGATAAATCACATATTTTACCGAAAGACTTAAAGAGCAACTACACGTGCTAAGTTAACTAATGAATTAAAAAAACATTGTCATTGTTTTGCTTACCAATAACGTATTTAGTAATTTAACACAATGACTACATTATAAAAAGATACTGGTACACTAATGCTTTAGGGCACAAAAAAATAATATGAATATATGTTTTTTGCATAAGATGTATTTTGTTAAAAAATATATTAAATGGAGGCGCCAATATATGATTATCTTAGGGCAGCAATGACAATTAGTACGGCACTGCCTTTTCCACAAATTAAACAGACATCTCAACTATAATAAAATAATTTATCATAAACCACTCAATTGTTCATAATAATTTTTCTTTTTTTTTTTCTGTAGATCTGGATAGACGATAGGCTGAATTGGTCACCGAGTAATTTTAGCAATTTGGAAACAATAATAATGAGTTACCAAGATATTTGGCGACCCGACATTTTACCATATAACAAGTATTTTTATAGTTTTAACGAATTAAAAAAAATATATTTTTTAATTGCACTACATTTAAGAGTACTTGTGTCTTACACTTTTTACGCTCATCGTACTCCGTTATATTCGTTAGCTAATACGCCTAGTATTTGTGTCTTGCACATAATATCACGGTGTTATTCCCTCTTCCTATATCAACAGCCTTTCGACACCCACAGTTAATCCTAAGTGTCAGCCGAACACAGTGACTTCAGTTCGATTACACGTGCGTAGATATCTATGCACATTCAACCTCATCATCTTCGTATACTCTACTCATCCCCATCGAAACTTGCTGTTTATTTTGTATAACAGCATTATTAATAAACATTTTCAAATAAAGTTTTATATTTAACCTAAATTTTGTCAAATAAAAATCTTAGAAAATAACTATCTCGAATGAACAACAAGTAGTTCATCAGTAATCGTAAAAATATTGTCATATGTAGTAAATGATTATAATTTAGTGACATAACTAATTTGAGCTTACAGTAATAACTATTTATTTATATACGAAACTTTACATTTAACAATTCAAATTAATATTATTACGCTTTCTTTTATTTTTATTATAATTATTATTATCATTTCATTTTATGGTAAAGTAAATAGTTTTCCTTCATTTTACTTTAGCATAGACGTCATTTCAGAAAACGACTATCAGAAGTATACTAATTGTAGAGTAGATTACAATGGCACAGTAATTCTTGTACAACCTTCTCAGTATAACATTCATTGTGATATGGATATGAAATATTGGCCATATGACGAACAAACTTCGACATTAAGGTTAGGCTCATGGGTGCAAAGTGGCAATGTTTTGAATCTAACAACTGACGAAAAAAGAACCGTAAGCTTTTATTTTAATTATTAAAAATTTAAACACAGAAAAAACTGATTTCTTTTTGAAAGAAAAAATAATAACATATCCCTCGGTTAATTCAAACTTCTATATAACTATTTTTACAATAGAAAAGTTCGGACATTGCAGCCTCTTAGTCCAATCAAGAGATAAAACACATTCAGAAAAGGACTTCATAATTTCAAATATTGTATGATTGAACAAAAAGAGAAATGTATTTTTGTATACATATATATATATATATATATATATATATATATATATATATATATATATATAT